CATGATTTGTTATTTAAATAACTACATAAATAGAATGATAACTGGTCAAGAATAGATAAAGACCTGGGCAGATCAGCACAGGTCCAAAACATTTTTTTGCATAAAATAAAGACATCAGTATTTTTGTCCCGGTAAAAAAAATCTAAAAGCAAGAAATTTTACTTTTTTATATAATTTTATTGTCAAGTTTTTGTAAACTTATCTAGAACGCTAATAACGAACGATTATCCCCTAACAGCATTGCAACACTAATCCTTTGATTGGTATATCTACGTGCCCCTTCCAACAAACAATTATTGGCAATAATTTTGATCAATTAAAAGATTAATTACCCCTTGTGGCTTCCTGAGTTAAGGTGTCATACACTGGCCAACTGGCCAGTATAAATTTAATCCGCCCCGGAGGCATTTATTAGTGGTCAAACACCGTAAAAAAGCGAATGTTTCAGGTAAACGACATGGCTAATTGTCATTACTTAACATAGCTTTATTCTATTCTGTGACTGACTGAATTAACGATGCCTAAATACTTAAAAAAGGTAGAAAAACTGTTAATAAGTATTGACATTCTGACTTTGTTTATGGTGTCATTAAATTTGCAAGTTATAGGGCCTATAGGTTGTATGCCACTATGTAAATTAAAAAAAAATACGTTTGCTGATCAATGCCCCACCTTCAAATGAAAAGTGTCCCGGAAATGAGTCTAAAAATATGCGCGTATGGTCATTATTTTGTATTGACGGCAAAAACAACAGAATTACACGAAATTATGAGAATCGAGCACATGTAACTGACGTTGTACACAGGTTTTTTTTGCGTAGTACACAGGTCTATTGAGCGCGCAATATTCAATATTCAAAGACGGCAAAAACTTCGTCTTTCAACAGTGAACTGATTTATATCATCTCCCCAATAAAGACATACAACGAGGAAGGTGAAATTGCTCAAGCAAATTTCACGGAAGAAGACCTTCAAAGCTGCAATCGGTGAAATTCACTGTGAGTATTATCATCAGTGCATCAGTTGATTTTTATTTCCAAACAGAGCCGGCAGCGTGTTTATGACTCCTCCAAGACAAAAATAAAGAGTCTATAATTATTTTAATGACCTTTCTTCACTTCTAAAAGCATTATTTTGTAACAATTTGCCGACTGTAACAATAGAAATAATAATTGTATTTCCAGCTCATTCCTAGTTACAGTTTAGATACTTAAACCTTACTGGAATTATTGCGTAAACGGACATTTGTCACATATTTTCGCGACCTGTTTTTATTCATTTCTTTGTTGTTGAACAGGATCGATATAAAATGAATCAAAAGCAAAGCATCGTTGAAGATTGAAGATGGTTCTGCTTCCCTGCAGGAAATTATTTGCTAATGCCTTCTAAAAGATAGAATCTAGTTTAAAATAGTTTTTTGAAAAATGCATGGTAGCAAGTTTTTTTATCCCTGGAAAGTTCAACACCCTAGTATGCAGACAGTTCGCTACCTTAGCAATTTTTCCCTTATATTAGAAAAAAAGTTTTTCATAAAGAGACAATATTTTTATATCACCATTAATTTATGTAGTTCAAGATATTTTTGAGTATTAAAACATTACTTGGAACATGCAAATTGAAAAAATTATAATGATACGGTTTGTCGATCAGAATATTTTAAAGATACTGGTCAATTGTTTATGATGTTAGAAGTTTTCTTGATTGTGATTAATATTATAGGTCCTGCTGACAGTGTCCAATGTGAAAGTGCATCGAAAAGGCAGGAACTGGTGGGGGTTGTGTGGTTGAGGCTAGATCTAACGTGTAAGCAATATAGTTGAGGTTACAAGGACCCAATTTTACAATTGTCTACAGTAGAACCAGATATTTTTGCATGGCAAAAATTCTTGAAATTTTAATTCAGTCTAATTTCACGAGGATTAAAATTCGCATAATTAGCATTTTCTTCTTAAATATTAATGAAAAACTGATATACCCTGATATGTCATTTCAAACACAAGACGTTAATTGTTGGTTTTTTTTGGTATTTCCAAACTAGATGGGAGGATGAGTGCAGAAGCCTGCGTAGAAAGATTCGACGCATGGAGGAGCGAATTACTGCTCTAGAGAGTCAGAATACAAAAGTGGAGGACCCCGAATTATAAGCTGTGGAACACTTAAGTGATACTCAAGAAGTCTTGGTTACATTAGCAAAGACTATCTTCACTGTGGAGGAACTTAGAACCCACTCTAGGACTGGAAAGATGACCAATAAGTGCAAGGATTCCCCGAGACCACCACTTGAACCCTCAAAACTCAGCAATCTTGAAAGACTAGTGAGGAAGAAAACCGTTGTATCAAAAGAAGTATTTAATAAAAACCTAGAGACTTTACAAAAGGTCATCTGAAGGAAATAAATCACAAAATAAGTGAAACATTGGAAACTGTTCTAATTTCAAGTTCTTGGTTTTTGCACTTTTGAAAATCAGCAAGCTGTATTGAAGAAACTATTTCTTAGTTCTTGTTAAACAAAGATGTGTAGTTTTTTGAATTTAACATGTAGTTTTACATGTTTGTGGTTTACTTTTGAACAATATAACTTAGAGCTTATGTTGAGTACATACTGTTTAGACTTGTCAGTCCGCAAATTGATTGGTATCATCTGTCTGCTCTGTTCTTGCATTTTTCATGAATGTAAAATAATGTAAATGTAGTTTAGGAACTGTTCATGAACTGTAGTCCTTGAACTGTTCTTGGACTTTTCGTGAAGATAAAATGGCACAATGAATTTGCACTGGAAAAAGTGCTAGAAAAGTTCATGTAGAGGAAAAAATTCATGAACAGTTCATAATTTACTGTAAGTGAACAGTTCATGAGCATTTCATTGCATTTTCTTCAAGAACAGGTCATGAAATGTTCATGTTTTATTGAGTCATGAACTGATCAAGAGCATGGGACAGTTCAAGAACTAAGTGTCCTCTGAACTTTTCAAGAATTTGTGCCATTTTGTCTTCATGTACATCCCATGAACTATTCATGAATCTAGGTCATGAACTAGAATGAATATTTCATGAATTATTCATGAACTGTAAGCATTCATTTCACAGGGGAAATTTGTTGTAGTTCATGTTCAAATATACATTGTATATATTACTCAGTCTTTGAAACCTAATAATATTCTATGATAAATTGCAACAATAAACATATACATTTAGAAACAAAAATAATTGCCTAACGTCTTGCAGTTCTTCCTTATGTTTCATTCTTGAAAAATGAGTTATTTACTGGCTACATTTTAGACATGCCAAGTGAAATATTATGACAAACAAAACAAAACATTTAAGAATGAGCAATTATTCTGCAATCCTAGAAAAAATCTGCATGGAAATTCTGCTACATTTGCTTCGATTATCTCAAGCATGTACGTTAAAAAAAAGGGTGGATGGGAAGTAGCAAGAAAGGTAATTTGTCAAGTTTGATTTGCAGACACTGCATAAATAAGTTGTTACTGGTTCTAGTATGACAGATTGTTACAAACAGATGCTACCAGTTGATGTTTTTTGTATTTTGTATCTATATATATATACTCTCTGAACATTCATAACCTATTGTTTCCTCTGGCTAAATGATGCAACCTGCATTATTAGATTTCTGCAATAATGGCAGGAATAGAACAGAATAGATTTAGTATTTCACCTGCCAGATACATCTGAGTAAAACTCTTTACTTACTGCTAATAAGTATGCTAACATACTTACACTGAGCCCAATATAAAACTTATTCTATTACTCAAACTGAAGAATACTATTCAGCTAAAAAAGTAGGTCAAGGAAATTGGCTGATGGGGAAAAAATATTCGAAAATTCACAAAAGAAAAATGCCATGGGCTGGAGTTTATATCTGCCAAATCTTAGAAACATTGTGTCTATCAATATGTCCATTTCACACCAGACATAAAAAGGCTTCTTATGTGTCTCAGGGTATATTATAGGTCGGAATGATGATAATTTTAGTCAAAGCTAAAAGCATCTGTGACTCCAGACAAAACAGTGTGATATTGACCATCTTAATGTGACAATAACGAGAGTTTTGGTGTAATTTTAATGTATCTTCACCCTCACCAGGCTAAATATCTTATAAAATGAACCTTGCCCATCATTCAATAATCTGTTATACAAACTGATAAATCAAATTCTGCTTTTTTTTTGTTAGATTATTGTTAGCAAACAGGAGTGGTTGAAAGCTGCGATGGTCATCATTTTTGAAATTTATAAGGCGACTAAATTCTTTTTCTCTTTACATCACTTTATTAAATTCCCATAGTCCATTTTTAGTGTCAATATTTTCTATTGGAATTTCTATAAAACATTATTAAATATTCCCCATTATAATTCATAGTAAAATTTAATTATCAAATTACATAGACTATCATATAACTTCCAGGTTCAATAAAGAATCAAGTACTTATATCTACCACAAATATACCACATATTTCCTAGCATTAAAACAGCTTATATTTTTCTTATATATCAAATTATATCCCATAATTTGACTTTTTTAACAGTACTGAACTGTTGAATTAACTTCAATACAAATATATATCTTTTATGTTCAATGTTACATTTTGTAAACTTTTGTCAGAAATAACATTACTTTAATATCATTATTAAAATTGAAACAAATTTTTCTTGAAAATAAAAAGTCTAAGTTACGTGTACATCTACAGTATAATTTCTTTGAGCTTTAAAAAAAAAAAGCTAACTTCCAAGTGAATATTGTTCATGAAGCAAAATTTTTCATTCAAGCATTCCTAATCCAGACATAAATATTTCCTTTCTTTCAATGACGTTCTTACTTTCATTATTTATTTATAAAACATTTTGTCAACTTAAGACAGCACCTCAACAATCATATCTCCAGCCAGAATCAATGACATGTTTTTCACAAAAACTTATACACCATTTGATAATACCATTTCAACAAATGAATCAATCCAAGATAAATCTTTACTGTATCAGCAATGAAAATAGATGCTTCTCAGCTCATGTGATCTAAATTCATAAAATCAAAGTGTAGGAAAAGGGTGGGGGATGGTAAATGATTAAAAACCCGAAACATAAGCAATCTATCTAATAACTTGCCAAAAAAGGATCCTATAATAAATGAATATGAAGAAAATACCTTGTAAATATGTCCTTTCTTAGTGCCTGCAAAAGCGACTGTGTATTCATTCACTATGTCTATGGTCAAAGATGAAATAGTACTGGGAAATGTGATTGCAGCTTCTTGAGAAATAGGATCTGTACCATCTGTCGGAGAATTGACCTCTTTATGATCACCGCAATACTCATCATTAACTTGTAGGTTCTGAAAAAAAATCATAACAAAAATCATTCCTTATTAATTGTGATCAGTTCATTAGATGTTTGTGTCTGGTTATATTATCATTGCAAATACAAAATGCCATGATGACCCTTAAGATCTTCAATGCAAAAAAAAAGGTCATTCAAGGTCATCCAAGGTCAATTTTGGATCATAGTCACTCACCACATGCACGTTACTGTAAAAATCCACATTAAGTACACAAATTAATCATATCAAAGCTCAAACACTTGGTCATCATTGTGATCATCCGAGGTGAAAAGGCAACACAGTATACTAAACCGTACCAAATGTCTAAATTTGAGGGCCGTGGCATATGAACTCAAAAGTAGTCCAACAGGTTAAGGACAGTCCAAATATTTAACTACATTTATAATTTTATGTGATCTTAATGTAAAGGCCAGAACTTAGGGCTGTAACAATACGGTAAAAAGCGTATTGCAATATATTGCAATATGCCACATCCGTATTGCAATATATTGCGATACGTATTGTTATTAATCTTAGGTACTGGGAAATAATTAAGAAAAAGAGACTTATATTATTTCAACAAATATTATATATATATATCTCTATATCTCTCGCAAAAAAACAGGATTAGTGTAACCAAAATTTAAACTGTTACAACTATTGAAGCATCAACTATGAGTAACTTAACAGCAAAATAAAACTTGAAACACTTTTCATTAAGTAACTAACAATCAAAACTATATCCTAATGATTTTCTTAGTTTCAGACTCGGACAAGATCACGGTGGCAATTAATCATTTTGTGATGCCGTTCCAAGTGCGTTCGTAAATTTGTGGTACCCGCACCACATTTGACTGCAACACCGCATCGATCGCAACACGCTGTTTTTTCAATAATTTCATGAGTCTCTCTTCCTTTTAATTGAAAAAAAACGCCAAACGGCAATCTTTCCTTCCGGATTTTTAATCAGATCGTAATTATTTTCTTCTGCCATAGTAAAGTAAGTAGTAAATTCAAGCATTTGTCTACCCGCTCACCGTGTAATTTTATATCCTAACACCGTTTTTTTACACGCTTCCTACTTTCAGTTTGTTATGTTCTTTTGTGCATAGGACAAGAAAATTATGGAGGCTTTCTTTTATTTATAGAGGAAATTATGGAACACTGTTATTACTTAATAAAACCGGTACAACTAAATATGAACTGCGGTACAATATTTATTTATCCTGCACTGCAATATATCAGTGTACCGGTAAACCATTACAGCCCTACCAGCAAAGATACACATGACATTTTTGGATAACAAAAAAATAAAATAAAAGAAAGTTATGTACTCACTGGTGTGTGTTTACATCGAACTGCATCATAAAAATACCCAGGGCCTGTATTGCCTTTGCCATTAAAACAGTCCTGAATATTAGCTGAAAATATCCTACGGACTGTTCGCATTGGATAGACACACAATGCTGAGTCTTCTGTAGGGTTACTTGATCGAGGGTCACCTATAGAGAAAGATACGTATAGTACTTCTTCCGTATCGGGTATATTTAACAGCTTTGCGAGCAGGACACCAGCTTTACCGACATAAACAGCTTGAGCAAGGTTATACAAAGCCCCGTTATGCCAGCACTGCAGCTGGACCTCAGCATAAGAATAGTATTGCAGGTCTTTTTGGCAGACACGAAAGATTTTCGTAATGTAAGACTCGAGGGTGGGTGATGGTTTTTGTACTGTCACCATATAGCTGAATCCTTGTGAGCCAAATCCATATACATATTTAATAGGAAACAATTGCCTATTGTTTGAGTCTAAAATCGTAGCAGACTTTCTGAACAGACTTTTATATGCTAGCTCAAAGTTATTCAATTTTCTTGTAGCAAAGCAATAAACTCGGTCTCGTTGAAAGCCTTTGTTGGTATATTGCACACCAATGTTTATCACGCTTGCAAAGTGTCCTTTCTCATCTTTAATTGGTCCAGGTGTGATAAACGCAAAAGAAGTTGCAGAGTCATTATTCGCCACAAGCGCATCATCAACAACAATTTCTTCCAAATTCTTGATGTTATTAATGTCACCCTTAAAACAGGATCCTTGATACAAACTGATACAGTGGATTAGATGATTGTTTTCATAATCAATCAGAATAACTTTACTGAAGCTTTGTGTCAACTCTTTCTTTTCTTCATCACAAGCATATTTCCTCACAGGGCAGGCGGGATTATCAAATGCTGGCCCAGTTTTCACTTCTGTAATAACATCCAGGTTTTCATCAAATTCATACAATCTATTTTTAGCACCAACATATATTTTACGAGTTCTTCTGTCCATCACAGCATTCTGAAAGAAAACCTCGCTTGAAGTTGGGTCAAGTTCGTACACGTCAGCTATATAGTTAGTTCCAGTTGCTATAGCAATGACGCTTAACAGTAGGGTTAGAATGATCTTCCACTCCATCCTCAAAGCGAAACCTTCTCAACAACTATGGCACATCTTTGGGGGATACATAAAAGTCTGAAATAAAGAAGTATGACAATGATACAATTGCATGTTTTAGCAATTTAATACTATAAAAAGATTACACAAGAGGCCAACACCTGCCTAGTTAGTACCTGTGTTGAATGTTTTAATCCAACTGTATTTAAGAAGCTCCTTTACCTATATTTTTATCAATAATTAAAACAAAATATTCATAAACAAAGAAATCCAGGCGATTGAAATCAGTAATTAACGGACTGTCCCATCTTTCATCCTGGACAAAGCCATTATCATTTTAAGGGAAAAATTGCAATATTATGTACTGACTGAATAGTGAACATGCAAACCATGATATGACTGCCTAGGTGTTGTGGCTGATTTTGCCTGAAACGGTGGCATGAGTAGATTAAGTTGCTACCAGCAAGCTTAACATTAAGGAAATGGTCCAACTTTCAAATCTTCATGAGATACTAATAAACTCTTAATAAAGAGACTAATCTTTTTTGTAGTCTTGAATTTATAAATTATTTTAAGTATATGTATTTACTTAAGTTTTCATGCTTTAGCATAAAATTGCTCTTTTAGGAGCATTCTACTCACAGTGCTACAATATAGTCTCAAAGTGTTAGAACTAGTTTTCATCAATAAACATACATACATGTATAAAATAACCAACAACACCCATACATCAAAAAAATCATATACATGTGTATATAATATATATATCATTTAAAATAACACATGAACTATGTTAATGATACGCACAACTTGCAGATACAGCAATCAAACCTTCAAAAGATTTAAATAAGGATCGAATGTCAACCTGTCAAGTGTTCAACTCCCCTATATGGTAAAAATCTTCCTGTTACACAATCAAAATACAACACACCTGGCAATGCTAAACCTTCATATGACTGTAATACTAAAACACTATAAAAATTTATAAAACCAAAGATAAACAACCAACTATAAACCAGACATTTGACATCTCCGCATTTACATGTACATACTAGGGATTTCCCATTTTTCCTTTCATAATAGGATCACTTCTTTCTATTTATGTAAATAGTGACTGGTCATATATGTCTAAATATTGCAATACGTAATATCATCTTCTTATGAAACAAAGTACAACAAATTGCACCAATGTTGTAGAAAATGAAAGCTGACTATTCAAGAACCGCCCAAATCACTTTTCAGTGTTTCAGTTTTTGAAAAACTTAAAGAGGGAAAAGCTAAAGTATTATAATCCATATTACAACATTTATGGGGCAAATAACTAAAATTAATAAATGTCCCTATAAATATTTACAAACAAGCATCAAAATACATTTTGTCCAACGGGTGTAACTATTATCGCAAAAAATCATTTTAATATTCAGCTGAAAAGATCAAAGCTTTACAAATACATATCTTGTAAAATTATTTTGCACACGAGTATTTGGGAACCCATCCAAAATAATTAAACCTTCACATTGCATCTATGCATTTCAAAATTTTGTGAATACCGAGTGATGTGTTTTTGTTACTAAAAATAGAACATTTCTAGTATTGCTTGCCAAGATTTAATTACTTTCACCCACTATTAAAGTTTGTTAAAACTGATCTGAAGATACTAAAAATAAATTACTACACGGATATGTAACTGCAGCAACTGATTCTACCAATGTAACCTGTGCAAACTAAAACATCCGTGCCATCTCATCATGGTCATCGCTGTTCACTTTTCGGTCAGGATTTATTTTGAAATTTCCCCTTAAAATGATTAATGGTTTACCTTTATTGAAAGTTGGCAAGTCCATTTACGATAAGTAGGGTAGTAAGGGTTAAATAAACAAGAGGGCCATGATGGCCCTGAAATCGCTCACATGTATATAGGCCCCCGGCGCGGGCCAATTTTAACCAAAGGGGTTTTAATTTGAAAAAATTGGTAGACACCCATTTGAAGATGTTTCATGATAAATATCTAAGCTCTAGCTCTTAGAAGATTTTTTAAGCTTTTACTAAACACATATAGGGAAAAACAATGACCCCCCCTCCAAGCAGGGCCCATTTTGTCCCCCAGGGCTTTTATTTGAACAAACTTGGTAGACACTCACTAGAATATAATTTATGCTTAATATCTAAACTCTAGCTCTTTAGGTTTTTTAACAGAAGATTTTTTAAGTTTGTACTATATACATATAAGGAAAATCAATGATCCCTGGGGCAGGGCCAATTTTAACCCCAGGGCCCTTATTTGAACATAAATGGTAGACACCCATTAGAAGATGTTTCATGCTAAATATCTTAAGATTTTTTAAAGTTTTTACTATATACATAAAGGGAAAAAAATTGACCCCCTGGGGTTGGGCCAATTTTGACACCAGGGCTTTTATTTGAACAAACTCGGTAGACACCCGCTAGAAGATGTTCCATGCTTAATAGCTAAGCTCTAGCTATTTGGGATTTTTAAAAGAAGATTTTTTAAAGTTTTCTCTATATACAAATAAGGAAAATCAATGACCTCCCACCCACCCACTCCCACAGGCGGGACCAATTTTGATCCCAGGGAATTTATTTGAACACTGACTAGATGATGTTTCATGCCAAATATTTAAGCTTTTCTAAAAGAAGATATTTTATGGTTTTTCTTTCGGTTGCCATGGCAACCAGAGTTCTGCTTGGAATTGAATTCTTTGAACAATTTTTAAAGTTGACTACCAAAGGAACATTCCTGTGAAGTTTGGATGAAATTGGCTTAGTGGTTTATGAGGAGATGTCGTTTAAAGTAAAAGTTTACGGACGGACGGAAGAAAAGCGATCACAAAATCTCACCATGTCAGTTTGTGACAGGTGAGCTAAAAATATTTTGTTAAGAGACAAGAAGAATGAAAACATACGCCCACTGCCCCCACAGATGACTCCAAAGTCATTCAAGCTCTTGAATAATGAACTCTAGACACACCCCTTCAGCTATAATAAACCTTGTTGTATTATTAGTTTATCATTTTTTGTGGAGAGTCTGGTCAGACTTCATGAATGTGCAGGCTAGTCTGACACTATATCATTGCCATAGTGCAGTAATGAGTTAACTCCTTATATAATTTAATAGGAGTTAGCCTGTTACTGATTTAAGGTGACAACATGTAGCTATCATTGCTAGCAAGCTCAGTTAACATCATTCTGAGAAATATACACTTCATCAAAGTAAACAAATGTATAAGTATTATTAACCCTTAACGCTGGAATCAAGTGATTTGCCTTTGCAACCACCATAGAGCACGGTCTGCCACAGGCTGCACTAGCCAGTTTTTATACTGCTGGCAGCTCAATTTTTGTACTCCCTCAAAACTTAAAACTTTCAATGCTGGGCAAGTCCATTTCACAAATTCAAGGGTTAAAATGTAACATTAATGCTTCAATAAAGATAAATTCTTTTTTCTTTACTCTGACATCATACATACTAACATAGATGATATCAAACAAATAATCTGTTAAGTAACATCATAATCATGGATAAAAATCTAGACTTCTTAGTTCCTGGATTATTATTTTGAGATAGACAAATATAAGAGTCAAAGTATTAAAAATATTCTATAATAACGAAACCAACCGGTATATTAAGATCAGATTTTACTTTCTAAAGAATTTCACATTCCACTGATTAATCTAGTGTTTGTCTACAATAAAACCAAAGTAAAATAAAATCTCATAGGTTCAGTTCTACAGGATCATTTACGCATATTAACCATACTTGGCAAATAACCCAAAATCTCAGTCCGAAGCATATCATGTTGTTTAAAAATAATTCTTATAGGTATTCCATTCATAAAATACAATTTATTATGCAGTTTACATATGTTAAATGGATCTTATCAGAGAAAGATTTATTTGATTTTTGAACGGTGGTTGACAAATTGGTATTGCATTAAATCGAAGAGATTAATCTGCAATCTGATCGCTGCAGTTTTTTACTCTATGACGTTTCTTTTTTAAAATAGACACTGACTTCAAATGTTTTGATCTTTACCGCAAAACTTATGAAAACAGTATTTAAATTAAGATATTTATCTAGCATACCTTTGTAATACCACCATATATGCAGGATTGGCTAAACTTAAAATTTGTGAAAAAAAATTCAAATAAATTCATTTTACATTTAAAGTAACTACATGTAAGTGTTTAAAGCCATATATCTGCTTTCTGCAGTTTACAAAGATATTTTGTTTGGATTCAGAAAAAGAATAATTCCACAATATGAAAGAAATATGTTAAGACTTATAATAATAAGAGAGAATGGCTCATGCATAAATTATTGTTTAACTGTTGAAACTCTACTTAAAATAGCAACATAGTATTTTATTCTCGAACATTCTATTTAGATTTTGTACAATTACGTACTAATTGGATTTTTTGAAACATTTATAATTATAATGTCACAACTCATTCTATCAAAATATTGACCATAAAATCATGGAAACATCATAATTTTTATCCTTTATAAATTCTAAAAAAAATATTTTATCAGATATAGCTTAATGCCCTTTAAAATTCTTATTAATGTCTCTTCCATAAAATTTATTAAATATCAAAATATGATCTAATAATGCAAATCAAGAGATGACAAAGATCCACCCTTATATTATGAAAACTTAATACAGAATATAGTCATGTATTGGTAATAAAATATAACAAAACACGTTTATTATACATACATTGTATATAAATCATAATAAAAGTATGTTATATGATAATATAAATTTCCAGTCACTAAGTGCCTACATTCATGGTGATTTCACTCCCAAAATAATGTTCTCTTTTATTATAGTAGAAAATACTTCCTGTCACTTGACTATTACAGACTTGGTATATTAAGAAACATTTAACCATTAAACCTTGTCTAAATTTAAATTGGATTTTACTTTTACATGTCAGATCATGGCCATATTCATCTTTTTTCATTAAACCATGTTATCATATGATTTGTCTACAGTTAAAGTCTTACGCTATTTATAAACATAGGTCGATGTTTACCCACTACAAAGATTATGTCA